CTTGAGAAAATCGGAGCAGTTGCTTTGTTTGTCGTGGATGCTCTGGTCAAAGTGCAGGAAGTTGTATGACTGATCAGGTACTGAGAGGATCGTGAACTGTGTTTCGTAGAGGAGATTGCTGAGAGTGAGGCGTTCGACACGACCAACCCAGTGCGACGATACTGCTAGCGCGATTCGATGGAGTCGATGAAATATCTTGAAGCAGTCGACCTGGGCGCAGGAAAGGTGGAGCAGTGACGTGGGCGACGTTTGTGCCGCTTCCTCTATGAGCTCGTCTGGCAAAGGAGGCGTATCCGGGTCCAGACTTATGTGTGAGAAAGATGGGTGCGCGTGAGAAACTGCTGCAGTGTGAAAGTCCATCCTGTCAAGTGCTTTAGCGGTGAAATTACGCGATGGGTGGCATTGAGCTTACCATATGATGCCACGCAGCAGGCCATCGTTGTGTCCAAAAGCAAATAGTCCACCTCGCACTTTCACCATACGTTTCAGCGCTGTGACGTGAAGTTGAGCCGCTTCATAGTCTCCAAGAAGATTCTGGAACAGTTAGCGTGAGTCATTCCACGGGAAGAGGTGCTCATACCTCGAGATTTGCCAAAGTCAACACAGTGCCAACCACCTCATCAGATATATAGCCTCCAGACGTCGCAAGTTTACAGTTGACGGCTTTGATCGCTTCATTCTTGTGCTTGAGTTTGCAAACTCTCAAATCAGTGAGTTCATTGGCCAGCATGCCGTATAGTGCCCAGCTTGCCAGAGTTGCGTGCCGTAAGCCAGCATCATTCAAGATGAGTGACTTCCACGTGTGCTGGGCATCGATGGCGAAGGCATTGTTCTTGGGCGCACTTTTGTCTATCTTCAGTGTCAGCTAGTGGGCCCTTGGCTTCAGAAATCACCCTTGTAGTTGGACAACGTGTGTCGACTCTACATACACAATTGGAACAGCACTCCCAGCTCTGGAGTTCCAGGTTTGGGCAAAGCCTTGAGAGGATCTATCCGATCATCATCCAGGCCGCAGTTCAGCACTGGCCTTGCTTCCATTGTTTCATCCATGTTGTTTCTCTTGTCTTTGCCATCTTCCCCAGCTTTCGAAGATGTCCTTGGTTCCGACCTATCTCTAAGGTCATTCGGTCTTGCTGCTCCCTTCTCTTTTGATCGCCGTACATCTTCCGTCTTTCTGCTATTGGCCTTCTTTTTCTTGATCCGAGGTTCGGATATCCGGAATCGGCTCTTTAGCTTCTTCTTCGCCATGGCCGTGCTGATCGAAGAGTGTTGAGACGGGTTGATCTGCGGTCCAGCCATCTTCATATCGAAGTGATTGCGCATCACCAGCCGCCGGATCATGCATCGTTCTGCACCAGCTGGGTTATATGGCTTATCCGTAGTTACAAAGAATTCGTACTCGCGCTCCATGATTTTGGTGAGCCTTGTTCGGTAGATCTGATGGGAGGGGTACGTCCGTAATCCAGAATTATAATTACGCAGTCAACAAATAATGGCTTGCGGCAAAATTGAGAGACTGTGGCTGGGGCGTTCGATATACCTCCTGTATATTCAATGTGGTACTTCGGCCTCCGACTACCACACCTCGTCATGTGCAACCATAAGCCACCTCATCGGCCGAAGCAGCGACCTATGCCCGGAGATAAGCTCGCGTAAGTGGTATCGAGTGTATGGGAAGTCATCTTGGCTGGTTTATATAAGACCTATGCTGATTACGGCAGCGGGGTCAACATGCGAGGTACTGTGCCATTGGACAACAGCAACACACGACGCGCGCCTCGTATGCGATAAGCGTCGGGCTTTCCGCCGATGTGTAAAGCGGCTGAGAGGGAAGCGCGGGGGGCCAAAACTCGTATTCTGGTAGCGACGCGCATGGGCGAATGATTCATGCAGCCCTACAGCGCCTCGGAAATGATGGCTGCTGCATTTCGGGGATATCTCTACTCTACATACACAACACCTCTACAACCCCGAGTTGAATGCCACACCTTCAACGCCAACAGCCTACCCGAGACTCATTTCCATATCTATTTGCTCTTATCCTCTCTCAGACTGACGATCTGGTTGAGCACAATCTTATCCTCTGTGGAGTCAATATCGACACAGAAGTAAGCAGTGCGCAGCGCCTGAAAGCGCACAAGAGCATCCGACGATCCGCTCAGATCGAGTGAAGTCTCGCTGATGAGATCCTTGATACCCCGCTCGATGACCGCTTTGTCGTGAATGATTTCGGAGTTGGGGTTGAGATCATCAGCCCAGCCGCCCGTCTTCCAGTCCAGTGTGTTGGGTGACTCGGTCTTGAAGAGCGAATTGTACAGACGTGCTGTGACGGGAACGGCTGTTGCAGCGTCCACCCATTGAACGTAGGCTTTCGGCTTCTCGGTACCAGGCACCTTGACAGCCTTGATCTCAGACACGTTGCCGTTCTCGTCCTTGGAGAAAGATGTCGCACGGATCGCGAAGGGGACGTTGTATAGACCCACGGCCTTGTTTGGCGCCAGACGGAAGTAATCGGCGCTGTCCTCCTCTCTGAAGTCGCTGCGATCGATGTAAACGGCACTACCAATCTTCACCTTGCGCTCACCAGATATGGTGCCCTTTGGATCGTACGGTACTGTGATCTCTTGTTCGTCTTCGGTCGCAAAGTCTTCGATGACTACTTTGATGGGGTCGAGCACCATCATCTGACGCGGTACGGTTCGCTCGAGATGTTTGCGGATCGAAGCTTCGAAGCGTGGCGGCTCAATTTCGGAAAGCGAATCCGTGACGCCGAGCTCGTCCACGAAGTTGAGCATGGCCTTGGCTGGGATGCCGCGACGGCGCAGCGCAACCATGGTGAAGAGTCGGGGGTCGTCCCACCCTCGTACTACACCAGGTATCTTTTTGGTCTCGACTGTGCCATCCGCGTTCTTCTTTTCGACAGTTGTGCCTTCGACGAGCTGGAGGATGCGTCGCTTCGAGAGGATCGTGCCGCCAACGCTTAGGCGTCCGAACCTACGGGATATTAGCATGGGTGAGTCTAGGTGGGAACCGTCACTTACTCTCGCTGCATTGGTCCCTTCTCCTCCGACTTGGGCACTTTCATGTCCAACTGCTCCAGCAGCCAGTCGTACGAGATACGCGACTGGCGGAACTCGACTGTACACAACGAATGGCTGATTCCCTCGAGAGCATCGCAAATGCAGTGGGTGAAGTCGTAGGTAGGGTAGATTCTCCACTTGTCGCCAGTTCGGTGGTGGTGGTTCTCTTTGACAACGCGGTAGGCGGGCAGATCCCACATCTGCGGGTTGCCCTCATCCGGGTCCGTCAACTTCTGCTTCATGCGCAAGAAAGCCTCTCCAGCCTGGTATTTGCCATCGCGCATCGCCCGGAATTCCGTGAGGGACTCTTCGATCGGCCGCGTGCGGTGTGCGCAGCCATAGCGTTTGCCTCTGTTGTCGGGTCCTCCGCGCTGGTTGTTGATCTCTTCGCCTGCGCCAGAGTTAGTACTGCGCATATGACGATAGCTATGCAGACTTACGTGAGCAGTGGCACACATAGGCGCCGTCCTTCTTGATAAGCTGCTCTGCAAGCTCGTACAGCTTGTCAAAGTTGTCGCTGCTGTATGTGATCTTCCACGGCTCGAAGCCTAGCCACTTGACGATATCCAGGATGGCAGTGAAGTAGATCTCGTCCTCCTTCTCCGGGTTGGTGTCGTCGTATCGCAGGTAGCACTTGCCATTGTGATGCTTTGCGAAGCCAAAGTCGACGGCGATGGCCTTGGCGTGACCGATGTGGAGGAAGCCGTTTGGTTCGGGAGGGAATCGGGTTCTGACTTCTGACACGGGCTTCTCTTCGTAGATGCGCTTCAGCCAGCCTTCAGAGAAGATGCTCGTCGGCTCGCTCTTTGTGCTGGGCTTGGCCTGCTCTTTGGGTCGGAGGGCATGCTCGGCCTTCTTGGCCTTTGCTGCTGCTTTCTTCGCGGCCTTCTCGAGCGCACGCTTCGAAGGGCCCTTCTCCTCCTCGGCGGCCGGTGGGGCGGGAGCTGTAGGTTCCGCCATGTCTGCGCGACGTCAGTACACGTGTTGTCGAAGGTGCGTTGTGCGGGATGTACGCGTGACTTTACAGCAGAAAGAAGACGCGTCGAGTTCGTTACTTACCAGAAAAGTGTCGATGTTGCGGAGCTCGTGTGCTGCGGGAGGGGCTCTCTCAATAACTTTGGAGGGGCATTGACTCAAACGCGCTACACCAGCCACACCCCTGACGCCACACCTACACGGCACCTCAACTTTCCCACCTGTCGCCCTCATCCACATCACACGCTGTGCCACCCACCCCTGGGTCGTGATCGCGTGCGATTCAATCAACCCTCCAATTCATATGGCTGTCAGCGACTCTAAACGCTTCAATTGGCGTGCGTCGGGACCTGATCCCTTCACAACACGACTCTCACACCCGGACTCTAAGCCACCTAACGCTTGAGGATTCCAAGGGCGTGATCAAAGTATCGTGGTTGTCTCGAAATTATATGACGACAGTTACGCCACAGCCTCGCTTTGTCGAGACATGGAATGCACTGCGAAACCAGACCTTGGAAACAACACAAAGCAGATTCAGAGCTTGGACGCGAATCCGGCAACATGATATCCAAGATTGACATACAAATACTCTAGTGGTAACTATGGATTCTATTCGTGTGCAACTAATTTCATCTCGATAGTGTTTCCAGCTTCAATATGCAACTTCGCCCTTTCCAAAGCATCATCAACTCTGCAAGTCGGAAATGCCGTCCTTCGGTACTGACACGACGCATGGAAGGTGCACTTGGAGCTATGACAACTTCAATGTCAAGACGTGAAACTCTAAAGACAGCAAAACTCAGCGACCAACATGCCACTCCTGGTGCACACCCGATCCTTAACTATTTCTCACGACAGATGCTCAACGCGCGCCAATCTTTATATCGCTCCTTGTTTCGCACACGCTTTCCTGCTCAACGAGTAGCATCAAAATTCCCATCGATGGTGACCACAAGAAACCAAAACTATACCTACGACAACGTCCCCCAGGAACAAGGCGGAATGGGGACAGCAACAGAGACACTCGATGATCGGCGAGCAAGACAGGCGCGTCTTCTCCTTTCGAAACACTACGAGCCCGTCATCTCTGAGGTACTCAACGAAGAGATACCCAAGTACAAGAATGGCACTACCATCAGTGCAACAGACCGTGTGAAGTATATACGAGAATGCGCACGAATACTCGCTTCAGAACCGCCTATCCTACTAGCGGCAGTCGACGGCGATTTGGTGCGCCGCATGCGAACTGATCCTGATCTGAAGCGAGAATACGAGCTCACCTGCAAGAATGCAGCAAAGCAGCCGTCCATATACATACACCAATTCGCAGACCTGAATGGTATTCCGCCTACTCCTAATCAAATGCTTGTCATCTGCAATTGGATAGCCGACTACATAGCCGATGATCTGGCAGAAGGCAAAGCTTCCGAGCACTTCTGGCAGATAGACAACATCTCCCCGGGAAGACCGCTGATTAACCAGCAGAACTCTGCCAAGGGTTACCGTAAGTATCTCTACACGACACATTCCAGTCGATCAAAGAAGCGTGTCGGTACCCTCGAACTTTTCTGTCAAGGTACCCAGAAACGTTGGCAGGAGACGCCAGCATCACTACGCGATACATCCTTCCGATATCCTCTTGGGGAGTGTGGATATTCTGAAAACTCAGAAAATCGTCTGAAAGAGCACCGCCAACGGAAGTCATCCAACTATATAATGAACCTAGTCGAGGACATATCCACCCACCTCCACAACATCGGCTTGTTTGAACAACACTTCAAAATGCACCAGTATATTGTCTATCTCATCGACCGGCGGGAACAAGTAGAGATCGCGGAGATCTTTTGCTCCGCATTACTTCGAGTGTGGGTGAGTAGCGGCGGTGGTTTCAACTCGTACCCTGCTGGGCTTAGCGTCAACTCTTCGAAGAAGGTCAGCAATATTGACTGGGCTTCGTACGAGATGAACACCACCTTGCACTCCCCCATCACCGAAAACATGAGGATGCAGCAGCTCAGAGCAGATGAGTACCGACAAGCACTGGAGTGGACGAATGACAACACTGTAGATTCGGAGACGAGAGAGCCAGCAAGCCAGGAAGAAGAGTGCATGTAAGTTGAACTACTGAAGGGCTCGATCAGGTACTGACGTAGCAATTATAGTGCTCATCTCTCACAGCTGTCGATGTAAACCACTACCCTGGACCATGACTGCTACATCCTGATACGCTTCTCAATACTAAACGTAGTCAAGTTGTGCGAATTCGAAATACTTCCTGCTCCAAATATCACGATGTCAATTTTGTTGTGTCGCAAGTGATGTTTCGAGGTCGCCCCCTTCGAGCCCCATAATCCCACGTCACAGTGTCGTGTATGGCCACTCTTTCCGATCAAACCAGAAAGAGCGCATCTCGCTACCAAACACGACGATGGTGTGCAATGCAGGCAAATCTGCAACGTCGCTTCTCGAAGGCCACTATCTCAACCTCCTGCATTAACCCGAGTGAATGTCATCGCATCGCCACATTACCGATCACCAACCATGTCTATGTAAGTCAACAACTTCGACCTTGCAGAAGACACAGCATTTTTGTCGGTTCATCTCGAAGATATAGAGCACCGCGGAGGTGTTCGCAATATTTAAAATAGCAAAATTCGATCTTCCACACTGTAGATATTATAACCATCCATTTATCTAGAGCAAAACTACATTGCACATTAGATTAAACTAACAATGAACAGAACATTCGAACACCCCCGCTCCTACCCAGCCGCCCTGCTCAAGAAGCGCCACTCCCTTCCCTCCCATCTCCACATCTTCGTCGAGCGACCAAGCCGACACGCAATACGCTCATCACGAGACTTCAACTACGATGCCCTCAACAAGTCCAGCATCGAAGCCCATTTCCAGCGCAACGTCGCATCGAGCTTTATCTCATTGTACGAGAGCAAAGCCACTGCCTCGGGCAAATATCCTCATACCGACAAAGTGGGACAAAAGCCGCGGTCATTCGATGCCGCTGAAATGGCTATCCACACCAGTGGGCTGACAGCGGCATGGGTGACCGTAGACAAAGACGTCCGTCTTCCAGTATGGTTTGACAAAGACAAGCAGGAGTCCGACAACGCAGACGACGAAGAGGTATTGTGGTTTTGCCTCCAAGAGCTGAAAGCAGTACTACAAGTCGATGAGAAGCTTGGGGAGAGGGACGAGTGGCTTGCCTGTGGGTTCATTCCCGAAAGTAGGGTTGTCACTCGTCACGATTCATCGAATGAGGAGCACTCAGAGGGGGTGGTCAACGACAAGGAAATAGAAGAGGCTTATAGACAGGCTCGCCGCGACCGCCAACGCATCGAAGGGGAGAGGCTTCAAGTTGACGTGCCGGAATCTGAGCACAGACTTAAGAAGACACTGTCTTCGGGCTTCTCGAAAGCTCCTCAGATCCCCAGTCGGAAAAGCTCTCTTGCCTCGTTGGATGGAAAAGCTGTGAGCCAGTCCAAGAGGATAGCTACTGGGGCTTCAAAGCTTCGCGTAGATACGCGCGACGTGTCGGTCTCGCTGACGAATGCGGATCCACGGCGCGCAGCGTCGCTGATGAAATATGCGTTGTTGCTGGCGCATGAAAAGAGGTATGAAGCCGAAGAGTCGTGGCTTTCGGAGACGACTCGTTTGGCTGGGGGTGTAGATCGGGGGGATAGTACGAGGACAATCGATGATGTGGGTCGTAGAGAGAGGCGAAGCGGGTTTGTAGAGCGTCATAATGAGGCCTACTTGACGCCGCCGCAATCACCAATTACCTCATCTGGACGAAGGGGCATGCATGAGCGAAGGGGTCGTAATAGTGCTGATAATCCAGTCAAACGATACGAAATCGCTCGACAAGATGATGAACAATCAGTCCAGGAAAGGGGAAGACGTATGCGTCGCTCTGCCGCTCCATCGCCCTCGCAGTCTTTGCTAGGACATCATCTTGAAGGAGGCAACGCGTCTTCGCTTCGACCGCGTCTTTCGCGCCGTGAGCTCCTCTTGGAGCTGCAATCAGACGAAGACTCTGTTCTACGAGAGTACGCAAGAGTCAGTCTGCAGGATCCCTCTTCCCACCACCACACCCGGCACGACACGCCTAATGGCGCACCCTCAACATCGACGGCCCCGGGAACCCAGCAACCACCCAACCATACCGCCCAGGGTGCAGGTGACGATGAATTTAGCCCACCAGATGAATCGGTCTACTCCACCATGTCGTCTCTCTCCTCCTTGTCCGACCTCGCGCATGCTACCATCGAGGAGGCCACGTACGCTACCGTCCATCCTGGCTCCCATGTTAGGGAGATCGAGATACGGAGAAGGAAGTCGAGGCCGTCGTCTGCGGAGGCGAAGTTCAGCGAAGAAGAGGAGAGAGGGAGGAGTAGGAACGGACGGCGACAACGAAGAGTTTCGGGGGTAGCTGTAGAAACACCAGCGGAAGAGGATGTGGAACCTTTTCCTACTTTTGATCCGATCGTACCGGGTCACGTACAGCTTTCACGGTCTGGAAGCAATGTTTCTGCGGTTGCTGTTGTTCCTTCGGCATCAACACCGATACCTCCACCAGTGGTCTTGAAATCCGAATCTTTCTTTGCTAGAAGGAAGAAACGGTTCGAGAAGGGCAAAGACGTTTCTGAGCGTTTAGCAGAGGCACAGGAAAGTCCGGCTGCAACGAAACCAAAGGTCATGAAGGATCTCTTGGAGTTTGCTGGGTGGAGGTCTGGTGATAAGAAAGATGGGTGGAAGTGAATAGGATGAGATATGACTAGTAGGAAAAAAGGTGAGTTACATGACGAGACGAGCTGTCATGTTGGAGTTCGCTAACGGGTACACGGATCAGCGAAAGACGGAGATGCAGGTCGAGGAATAGAAGAGCGTCCCGCCATCGCCAAACCACAACATCCAAGGAAGCATCCACTCACGCTCGCACCTGGAATATCATCTTACCAAAACGTCGTGATGGTGAGGCGCCCTTCCCCAGTTTTCTCGTAGGTTTCCACTCAGACAACCCAACCGCCACCAACGAAACCACCACTCTACCCGCCTATCCGCATCCTACGATCCCAACCCACAATCCCACCCCACAACAATTCGCACCGTTACCCACCCCTGATCCTACACCCGCGCATCCCTCTGCATCCGTCCTAGCTCGCTCCCATCCCATTCCCAATGCAAACCCCTGCCTTTCCGATTTACCCGGAAGCAGTAAAACGCACGGATCCGCACACCCCAATCGAGCAATGACGTGCCGAAAGCAGTGCTGGCGAAAGTTGGCAGCGAGGCATTGGACGCGCACGTTCGGCGCCGGGGGCAATGCAGAGAAAAGTTGGCACCGTGTTCCATGGTGGACTTGTGAGTTACTGCATTAGGCATCTAGAGAAGATGACGACGGGGATGACGGTGGTTGTGACGTTGGAGGTGTCGTGACGTCGAGGGTAATTATAAATATGGTGGACAATGCGTGCAAGAGATGGTGTAGGCGGACGGAGCGGAAGGATTGCGCGGTGCGGTGATTGGGTGTGGTGCAACATTAAAACACCATCATCGATGTATTTGCAACATCGAGATTACCATATCGCGATATTAGTTGATTGTTCGTGAAGTTATAAGTGCACTGGTGATGAATTGCTTGTTCACATGCTACTTCGTGTATTACTATGGATGCGTGAGACGTGGTGCTCACAATAGGCCCGACCTTGCCTGCCTGAATTCCCCAAAGGACCGTTTTCGTATAAAGACACCCCATCGCTGCTGCCTACGCATGTACTTTGCTTGCGCCTCTACGCGCGGCTTTGTAGGCAGTTGTATAGGCTTTAGCCGCGATCTCTGGTGTGCGACGATGACAGACTCTAGCCCCAGTGAGGTGCATCATGGTGGCTCCTGCGTTGTCGGTTGTCAAGATGATCGGACCGTGGCGGGGGCTTTGAGAAATCGATATTGTGAACATGCCCTATAACGGGACTGGTTATTGTTCGGAAGGATACTCCCTCGGAGCTGTTCATCCAGGTTGTGGGCTAGCCATGCCACCCTGGTAAGCACTGGCAAAGTCTAGTTGTCCCAGTTGGCCATTAATCTGGTCAATCTCTTTGTTCAGGTCTTCCACATTCTGCGCCAAACTGGATACTTCGTCGAATCTTCGGTGTTTGGTGGCATCAGCGACCATTTCAGACACTATGAACTTCTGTTCCTCAAGTACGATCAACCGCTCTTTGAGTTCTTTCTCTTCTGATTCCATTGCGGAGACCTCGCTGCTGCTTACGACACTGCCAGTGGAGCGGTCGTTGTACTTAATGGACGCGAGAGCACTACCTCCATTCGTTCGACCTTGCGGGGCTGCATGTTTGAGGATCTTTGGTAACGCTCTGAGCGGTAGCATGTGTAAGCTCAAGAAGCTGTAAGCTTGCTGATATACTGCTCTTTGTAGCTTCTGCTGTGTCGGCGAGTCGGTGGGGAGATCTCGTATTCGTTTTGCGGCTACATCGAACTGTGCAAAGCCGTCCATTAATCGTTTGCGCACCTTGGTCGCGTCAGTCAACTGCTGCGGCGTGGGTGACTTGTCTGGGTCTTGCAAGGCCTGCAGGAGCTTGTGGAATCGTGGAAGGAGTAATCGGATGCCACGTTCGAATTGCGCAAGGTTCTCGTATGCACGCTGGTCCTTTGGCTTGTCGGCTAGCTCGCGCTCAAAGTCGCCTCTAGCGAACAACGTGTGTTGGCAGTCTTTGCACATGCGCACGTCAACACTCATCTGCGCAGCATCTTTCTCGGTTGTCTGTGTGCTAGCGACGTTGAGACCTATTTCCGAGGAGCAGCCAGTCTTGGGGTCGCTGCACACGACGCGTCCGCACATGCGACAGTGTGATCTTCTGAATGTGTATGTCGAGAACTCCTGCTGACAGAAGGGACAGTTGGGAACTTTGGCGTCTTCCTCCCACGTGATTATTGATTGCTCCAGAGTCTTGCGTTGGTTCTTGACACCCGGGAGCGAGAACCAGCTCCCTGCGGTCTGCGTTTCTTCTATCGGAGGCGGGTTTGCGAGAAGTTGCGTCAACTTGGTAAGACGCTTCTCGAGCCGGCTGACTTCCATTCGCTCTCTATCCACCCGTTTCCGTCTGATCTTGGCGAATTCGTCGAAGTGGTCGCGCTCGAAGCCGTGGTGATCGTTGTACCCGTCTCTCGACTTGTAGCATGTCTCGCACACGCGACACCAAACGCCTCGGACAGGGTCGTGTTTAGCCTGCCGCGAGAGCTTCATCTGGTACATGGTGTGCTCCTCGCAGAACAGCCTGCCACACTGTCTGCAGTTGACTGCAGGCTGACTCCCGCCTAACGCCATTTGTGATGCTGTGACGGGCCTCGCGCACATGGGGTCTGAGCAGACATCGCGGTAGCCAGGCCTCTGCCAATGTGATCGCGTGACTTCCTCCTCGGGGTCTCGGCGGACGGGTGCGGGTTCGTGGGGAACGTGGGCGGTCGAACTGCTCGCGGAGTGGGAGATTTGGGGTGGCGTCGGAACGTCGTTGGATTCGAAGACGTCGAGTCCCTTCAGCTTCTGGTTGAGCACGGCGAGCGGCTGGAACTTCTTGGCCTTGTGCATCTGGGCCTCGAACCAGTTCTTGACCTCATCCTGCTCCTCCACGACCAGGTTCTGGTGGTTGTCGTCGAGATGTCTAACACTGGTCAGGGCTAACATATTGGGCGGCTACGAGGCGGTGGTACCTGTTCAGCTGTAGTAATGTTACCTGCTACGTCAGACGACTGTTCTTGCTGCAGCAGGTGCTATGAACCCACCATTTCCTCATTGCATATCGGGCACACGAGTCTGCTGGAGGCACTCGCCGCGGCATGCTCGCTCGGGCCCACCAGGACCTTGCTGCCGATATCCTCGCGCGTCTCTGCAGTGCTGGCGGGGCTGTTGGAGGCCTGCGAGTTGAGCGAGACGGAGCTCTCAGAGGGCGAGAGCAGGCTCGCGTTGCGGCGGTGGGCGGCTGCAGGCTGCGGAGGTGCAGCGGCGGGCGACAGGTTCCTCCCGCTGCCGAGTACGCGGCCGCCGCCCAGGGACCTGCGCGAGGTCATGTTCGGGAGTGTCTGCTGGAGTCGTGAAGGTACATGGGCCGGCATGGGTAGGCTAGGGCGTGGGTCTTGGGCGCGCCGTTGCAAGGGCCGCTAGGGATGCGCTGCAGGACCACATGCCGGCATCTTGGAAACGCGTCCCCGTCCCGCAGTCGCACCATCCAGGGAGACATGGCTAGTGGCAGCGAGGGAACCATTATTGCGTGATTGCGAAGTGCATGCGATAAGAAAACTCTACAGCCCAGCCAGCCCGGCCGACGTCCACAGCACGGCCTTGGCAATGACGCGGAATCGAGACATGGCTATCTCCGCGCTGCATGCTCCATCTCCGCAACACTCTCCGCACCATGAAAGGCCCCTACCCCGAGATCCAGGGCGGCGGCTCTCTGATTCTCGCATGGCAGATCCGCAATAAGCGCGTCCTGGTCGTCGGCGGCGGCGAGGTACGTCTACACCCCGAGGCCCCTTGCAAAGTATTGACAGTTGACAAAAGTCTAGGTCGCCGCTGGTCGCATCGTCAACGTGCTCAATGCCGACGCCAAAATCACCCTCGTCTCCCCGCGCGACGGCCTCAACGAAGAAGTCGCCTACCGGATAGAACAGGGCCAGGTCGACTACATCGATCGCAAGTTTGAGCCCCAAGACCTCGATGGCGTCGACATGGTCCTGACCGCCGTCGACGATCCCGAGGCCTCGTCGCAGATCTACAAGCTATGCAAGGAGAGGCGGATAGCAGCCAACATCGCCGACGTCCCGCCCGAGTGCGACTTCTACTTTGGCAGCGTGCACCGCGATGGGCCGCTCCAGATCATGGTCAGCACAAACGGCAATGGCCCCAAGCTCGCCAACATCGTCAGGAGGCAGATAGCAGCTGGCCTACCATACAACATCGGCAACGCCGTACAAAGAGTCGGCATGCTGCGGAGGAAGCTGCGAAAGGTCGCGCCCAATATTGAGGAGGGCCCAAAGCGGATGCAATGGTATGTTCTCGACATCGCACCCTGAAGCCGCCCGCTGACTCAGCCAATCCAGGATGTCCAAGGTGTGCGAACAATACTCGCTCGACGACCTGTGCGCCATGACCGAGGAGGACATGGAGATGCTCCTCGGTTTCTACAGACCCGGAACCGTGCCGACGCTCGAAGAAGTACGACTGCAGGAAGCTGACGGAGCGTACGACGGGCCTTTCTTGATCTGATTGCATATGGAACCGGCGTTGGGTAGACAGCATACAGTAGGTATGAGCGGGAGTTGCGGCGACGCTATCAAATTCTTGTATATCAATTGTACACTCTCCTACGCTCTCACTACCTCCTAGAAGTTTTATGTTGCCTTGGGATTTTGTAAGCTTTCCTTTCTATACTAATGCAGGCGGCAGCGCATCTGTTGGGTTTCCAGCTAGTCGAAGGTGCTCCGGTGGCTCCTTCCTCGTCTCATCTCCTGCTGTGCTGTCAGCCAATCAGGATGAGTTGGCCCAAGCGTCATCTTCCCGGCACTTGCCTGTTGAATGCGTCCCTCACCACATCTTACAGATCACATTACAGCAACGCTACGTTTTCTGCGCTCTATCACCTACCTAGGTAGATGTCGGCGTCAGAGAACACGATGGATCTTGCGCAGCGACCACCTTACGACACCGTCGATTTCAAGGCCCTCACCAAGAGCGACAGGGAATTCAA